CCTTAGAGTGTACGTGGGTTTCATGTCATCTGGAAATGGAGTAAATAAGACAGTGCTTGTGCAGCACGTCCCACTTATTCAGCGGGCGTCTTATTTACTCCATTTCCAGATGACATGAAACCCCGACCCTTCTCCCCCTCGCTGGGGTCGGCGGCACGGGGCGTAGCCCTTACAATATATATCCACTCAGTGATCTACACATGCGATCACATGTGTCTGGATGTCTAGAGCTGACTTCAGGGGATGTATGATATTTCATATGAATATCTATACAGTAATACTAACACTGATACCGATATATATATATATATTAGTATTCCTATATGTGATTATATTTGTGATGTATCTTGACAAGAAAGGACCCAACAGTGCTTCTTGTGACACGTTCGTGCATGCTTCACAAGAAAGTGTGTTCTTTGCCTGTACCACATTCGGAGCCGGCAAAGCAGGAATGTCTGTCCTTCCTGAGAAACAAGCGGGCTGCCTTTGGCTTGAAGGTTTTAGAAAATTGGTGATTCACTCCCACCAACGAAGGATGCTTCTCACTATGACATTAAACCTGATGACATGTATGAAGCCCTTGGAATTGGCTGAGAAACACCCTTGCGTGGTGTTTCTGTCGCCTTTCGTCCGCCAAGACTCCAAGCCAAGCAGAGGTCCACAAGCCTGCAAGGAAAGGCTCCTGACATGATCAAACCGATCAAAAAACAACCCACACAAGTCTTAGAAGTAAGTGGAACCTCAACCCACGGATTCAGGGAAGAAGCACAAGCTCTTAAACAGACTCTTGCGCACGCCTCAGGCCGTGGGCATTTGCACCATTCAGATCTCAGGATGCGATCCAGCAAGAGAACCTGCCCAGGAAACTTCACCGGCTTCATGAAGGACTTCCTAGGAGACAGTTGGAAGGACGTCCTGCGCTCCCTCCACGGAAAGCAGAAGCTTCTCCGCCCAAGTCACGGCATATTCTGCTGGGACCTGAGACGCTGCGTGACTGAGATCCCTTCGCTCAGTAATCCTCACAGTCGAAAAACGCATTCAGTTGCGACGAAGACCCAAAACGAAACACACTCTGCGGACCCTTTTTGGGCACCCAGGGCGCTCGCTTGCGCCTCTAGCAGGGCCACCACGACACCCTCAGAAGCCGGAACCTGTCGGTGTCGGTTGCAGAAAAGGACGGTGCACTGCCACGCCCCTCTCAAGGCAGTTGCATTTCAAGTCACTAACATGGCAGTGGAAAATGGTCCCTGGAAAGGCTACTTTCCTCTAGAAAAGTTGTGGTTTTCCACTTCCATGAGTACTTCAGGGAGTGTAGGTACCTGGTGTCTCATGCTTGTCACCTCCGCCACCAGGGCCTGGAAGAACTTGGGCGACTTGGGCAGCGGCGGGAAGGCTCTGGCAGAAGCCTCCTGAAATGATATTTTTGGAGGGTTCTAGTTCTGGGGGTTGCTTCTCGAAAAGTTTGGGTCCTGAGAAATATAAGGCTCCCGGCAGACCCTGGATCTCATGATTCTCAGGGGGATTGGGGGGGTTGCTTCGAACGGCCCAAAGATGGCCTCTTTCGTGGCGTTCTTCACGACGGTTGGGGCTGAAGAAAAATTCCACGACTGTTGGTTCGTTTCTCCAGCTGAGCTTGTCCTCCGGATCCAGTGACCAAGACCTCGATGGTGCCGGTCAAGACTCGATGGTGCCGGTCTCTCTTCAAGTCGTGTCCATTCCAAAAGCCTTGAGGGGCACACAGCGGTTGCAGTGCAAATGCTTGGAGGGCGAATGCACTGGCCGGTCCTGAACGCTCAAGATGCGGTCAAATGCGGAGGTGTGTGCTAGACGTATATAGAAGCCCAACAGCAACATACTGTTTAGTGGGAGAATGGACTGCCAACCAATTGGTTCAATTCTCACACTCAAACAACAAGGATATTCTTTTGGGGAAAAATGAGGGGTCAGTTTGGTACCACTGTTGGTTCTATCAGATACACTGGTATCTCCTCTATGAATCAACCAACAGTCAAGGGCCATCTCTTCTGTATATATTACACCCAAAAAAGGTTCTCAGAAACCTCAGAGGGTGAACTCCCCTAAGGCACCGGGCCAGCTCCGCAAATCACCAGAGTCTTGCAGCGCGCGGCATCGCCTGCAACGCCCACGGCAGTCTCCAAATGTCTTCTCGGTTTTTGTTCGGTTCCTTTAGATTTCAGTAGGGCACCTACTGATCCGGCCCACCTGAGAACACGAAGTCGATCTCGGGCTGCTCGTCCTCGTCATCTGACCTGATCACGTTGCACGGATCCGGGGTGGGCCCACCGAAGCGCCACGTGTTCCGCTGCGTTGTCCGCGCGAGGCCGCCCACGAAATCGAGGCCGGCCGAGGGAAGTCCCAAAACAAGCTTCCGAAGTGGAAAATCCACCAGGTGCGCCGTGTGAGAACGTCCAGTGAGACTCCGACACGCAAGGCTGGATTTGGTCCAGCAGCCCATGAATCATCTGAAAAAGGACGCGAGAGCTTGTCACCGAAGCTTGTGACTTGTCCAAGGATATGGCTCATGTCAGCTTCTGTCACTGAAGCAAATAGCAAGTGCATCCACAGGTCTGACAACCAAGTTTCTAAAATCTGCTCCTTTCTGTAGTCGAGTCACATGTGTTCTTTTTCTAAATCTGGCTACGAGGCTAAGCAGCTATGACAACAATAAAGTCACTGAGGAGTGACGGATCAAGAATATCGTTTTAAAAGCCTGCTCTTAACTAAGTAGGTGCCTACTTAATTAAGGGATTAAACTACTAGCTACTAGTTAACTTCCAGCAACAGGAGAGCTCACACTTCTTCAAGGAAGCTCCCCCCCGCCTGAGGGCGCTCGCACTGTTCATTTAGTTCCTAGATGTTCATCACCAAGAGAGCATCTTTCTCACATAAAATCAAGTGCCAGCGACAATGTCAGCTCGGCCATCCAATTGGTCTGACCGCAAAAAAGTGCACTTGGCGAGGCATGAAAACCAGGGTGTTCCCATTTCTACTGCAGCACCTATGATTATGACAATCCAAAAGTCCTTGCCAAATGTCCACTGCATGACTTTTGTAGCCAAATTCACCACACGTTCAGCCTTTTCAGCTTCACGAGCCTTTTCAGCTTCACGAGCTAGATGTCAAAATCACCGGAAAGATGGCATTAAAGTGCCACACTCAGCATTCTGTGTTGGGCAGACTGCACATAGCTTGGTGCTTTGACTCCCTTTCTGCACCCTACAGCTCTCACACGACTTCAGTTCAATCAGCATTCCTTCTCCATGCATTGTCCACTCAAAACGTTGTGGACAATGACAAAGTATGAGCCCAAGAGAAAAAAATCATGCAAGTGCCTGAAAGTTGCAAATGCGCTTATGTACAAAAAAAAGTCAACTTTCACTGGCCACAGGGTGAAGTTCAGACATTGTCACAAATCCTGTCTACCATGAGTTTCACTTTGACATCAAGTTCGCAATGTCTTGGCTTCAACTCTTAAAGTTTGTACATGCATCCATTGTGGATAGTAGAAACATCGACTGGCCACTACAAACGAGCGACTGTACGACTGTACCCGTCTGAAGCATCTGCACTCGCGGCCGAAAAACCTCTCTCTTTCTGGCTCTCGAGCGGCTGCGCCAGGCAGCGCTCAAAACGAGAAATCACAAATGCAGCCGCCAGTCTGTAACTTCCGCACCTCACTTGGCTGCTTGGCCGCTTGGGAGAAAACAATATTCCACACATCACATCCAATCAAGCAGCGACAGCTCCGTCGCATCTTGACTCTCTTTGGATTCCATGCTCAATCTGGGCTTCTCGCTGCATTCTTCAGCTCATGATGTAGAGGACCAGCCCCAGACGAGCGACAATTCCCTCCCAAACGTAACTCAAGCCTCTCCAGCTTCGGAAGGTCCTCGGCCGATCTGATCAGAAAAAGAACACTCAAAGTCGCTGCCCTGCCCGAACCACACTCCCTGTTCACCCTGGTCCACGCTGCTTTCAAGCGTGGGAAACACCGGTTCTGAGCATCGCCACGCCCACGGCTCGCGCCAATTCCCGCTCGCCGTTGTCCCCCACGAGGTTCCCTCGAAGGTCGGCCACCAGCCTCCGCGTTGGCCGTCACGGTGGGACGGTCCACGGCGTCCAACCGACCGTCCCGGTACACCACGGTGGACACCGGTCGGTCCGTCTCAACCGGGGTCATAGACCCACTCAAAGTCTTCAAGAGACCAGGCATCTCCAACATGCAACTCATTGCCCCCCCCAAAAAAAAGAAGTGGTTCACACTCACCATCCCTAATACATTCCCAAGACCACTGGGACTATCCTTCCTTTTTCTTGAATGTCCCTTTTCCACCACTCCTCCGACTTCGCGCTCGCCTAGACAGCTTCGCAAGGTGACCCATGGCCCGGGCCAGCTCGCAAGCGCCCGGATCGCCTGCAGCGCTTTCCGGAAAGAAATCGGCCAACACGTCGAGCTTTCGGGGAAGAAACAGAAGAAAAATGAAGAAATTGGTGTTTCTGGGAAGAAGAAATGAAGAAACTGTTGGAGCTTTTGTGGAGCCTTGCTGGAACAAAGAACGCATGAAAAAGAGTCAAGAGCTGAGCTCCCCTCCCCAAAAAAAACCTGGGCCTATGCCATTGCCGCTCACATCCAGCTCAAGGCAGCAGAGCAAACGTAGACTTCCCAGGGCCTCGTTCGACACGATGTTCCGGGGGGCGGCTCTCCGAAGGCGACCGACCTCTCCAAGGCTGTTCGCCTCACCGGGTTCACCTGCCGAGGTCCCGCGGTCCCCGCGGTCCCCTGCCTGCGACAGCTCCCGGGCGCCCACCTCTCGAATGCGGTTGCCAGAGGCCAACAGTCGCAGGCTCACCTCGAGGACACGGTTCTTCGGTGAGACCGAAAAACGGACGCGTCAAACATACGTCCAACAGACGCAGCCTTTGTCGATCTCTTTGGTGTTGAATCACAGCCCACGTCCACAATTGAGTGGAGAAGTGCAGATTGGGTGTATAACAACTGAATGGGTCAGATATGTTGCAGGAAATAAGGGGCACACGGCACTTGTGGACGATTCATGGATCATTTTGCAGTCTCATTTTCTCCGGCTTCCCCTTGCAATGCTGAGGACCACACTAGGCCTTGCTGCGAAGAAATGGCCTGATCGCACCGCTGATCACGATGTCCGACCATGCAACAAACTACTGCCCATGACCTGAGAATGCTCCCCCCATTCCGATCCCATTCCCGACTCGGCCATGCCGGCAGGGCTGGGCCTGGGCCAAAAGGCGAGCCCCAGCAGAGCCTCGTTGTGCCACGGTTTAATCCACCGCCGCGGTGCAACGGTTTGGCGCAAACAAAGGTTTGGGGCTTCCAAAAAAAAAAAAAACTCCCACTGAGATTTGATTGAAAAATAAGGGGCATGTTGATCATCAAAAAGATCCCCCAAGAATTTTTTTATCTACAGAGTTTTGGGTCTACTTATCAATCTTATCATCAAACATATGTTTTGACCCAAAAGGATGAATGTTTCGGCATGCTCCAAGCTCATGTTGAGGTCGTCGCGTCACTGACGAGTTTGCCCCGCCTACATGGTTGACGTTCAGGTCAATGCTCAAGGTCTTCAGACCCTGAAGATGCTTGGCAGCTGCTCAAACGACGGCTGAAACAAAGCTTCCACCAACCAGGCCAGCGTCCAGGAGCGTCCAAACCCGCTCTATGCGGGTTTAAAGCGATGAGAGGGGAAAAGGCATTGTCCTCTTTGGTACAAAGTGTTCTTTGTCCTTGGAATGTCATTTGGACGTACTTAAGACTTAATGACTTAAGACCAAGTGCTCTTCACCACGTGCCTCTTCACCTAGCCGGTGTTTCCCGCGTCTTGACGTCGGTGAACCCCTCTCACCTGAAGGCTAGACAGGGCCATGCCCAAGTCATGTGCACCTCCGGCAGGAAGCGATCGGTTCGTGTGCACGTTTTGGTCTTCATCATCATCCATGGATTGACGTTACAGTCGTCGCGCCTGCCCATCCGACACTGCTGACGCTGAGATCGAGCCTCGGGCAACACATGCGATCGGTGAGTCCGGTGAGTAGTATTCTAGGGCAAAACATCAAGGATTCTGAATATCTGAGGCCACATCTCCAAGTCTTGAAGACTGTGTGAACTCAGAGCGTGAGCAATGTCCTCTCTGTTTTGAAGCGCAGCAGTTCCGAAACAAGAAACACACATATCAACAAAGTCTCGCCTGCACACCAGCTTCTGACACCTGCGCATTCAGAAAGACCAAGTGTATACTGTAGTATAAACACAAAATGCTGATATGAGATTATATGAGCCAACAAATCATCCTGCCGAGGGACTGCATTTCGATTCAACCCCAACACCAGCCGCGACAGCCTCGCCCAGCACGCCATGTCACACGAAGGAAACATTCACGAAAACTAGTAGCTTCTTGTTACTAGCAGCGATGACCTCCAACCTGCTTGCGATGGCCTCCACCTAATAGCGTCCTTGCTACTAGTAAAACTTGGAAAACTGCAAAGGTTCGGCTGAGTGCAGAGCTTCCGCAAACCCCTCATGGTCGCGGCCATCTGCCTCGCTCCATCCTCGTGGTTCCGTGGGCCACGTGCCACGTGGCAGGCCACTTCTCTTCGGTCGTTGCCACGGCCTCCCCAACGCGGTTGTCGAACAGTGCCACTTCGAGCTCAGACAGTGTTGGCAGCTCCAATACCTGGAGAGGCGAGTTGGATTTTTGAAAAAAACACCTGGCACTCAACCAGCTGAAGGAAACTGCCACTCTGGCGGCACGACTTGGGCCAAGCATGCCACACCTTGATTGCACAAGGCTCTTTCAGTAACAAAGAACCGCAAAGCCACTCTGCCTGGGTCAGAAATCCGATTCCGGTTGAGGTCCAAGACCTCAAAGATCACGGCAGACAGCCCAGATCAACGGTGCAGAGAAAAAGGATCACCTCCCGGCTCGTTGAACAATCAATAATGCCAGGAATGCCGACAAAGGATTCCCCGTTTCTGAGAATTGCTCCAATGCTTGCAGCAGCAAGTTTGAGCGCAAGAACTTGGACAATTCCCTCAACCTGCTCACGGCATCATGCAAACGCTCACAAGAGAAAAATAATATATATATATATATGTGTATGTGATTGTTTCTTTTATGGTCCATATGTCAAGCGTCCCATGACTGATGTCAAATAGAGTCATATTTCTTGTGCTTCGTCTTGTCTGAAAGATATGTGCAACTTTCTTGTTCTCGGAAAATGCGTCTTCTGACCCTGCGTCGCCAATGTCATTCAAGCTCAAATCCAGCTTCCTCAGCAATTCGAACGATGCTAGTGCACCGACTTCAGCAGCCCAAACAAATCTGGCTACCCTCTCTGAAAATCAACCAATTGACACTCTACTCATCTAATCTAAAAACTGCAACGAAGCATCAATCTCGTCAAGCTCCTTAAAGAAGAAAGCTCCTGCAAGCTGTCAATGTCAAGAGAATTTATGATCCAGGCTTCATGGTGGATGGAAAGTCTGCCCTGTGGCCTATCACCGCAAGATGTTGGAGGTTTGTAATGTAAGAAACTACAGTAATCACAAAAGCCACATGCCATTTGTCTCAACAACATTTCTACCATCCAACCTACACGATGCTCAGCACCAAAATCTCTTGTCCTTGTGAGGAACTGCTGATTTGGACCGTTTCTCACGGCCAGACTGGCAAAATCAGAAGTTTGCATCTTGCTGCCCCCGACACCAACGGTGGACAAGTAACTTTAGGGAATCTACCGCAAACTCAAGGAAACCTGGGACCCGCTATGGGAAAGACATTTTCCGCAACCTCCTGAATAATCGGTACAGCGCGAAGCAACAAATACGGTCACAACATATGGTTGCTGCTAGGAGCACAAACTAGCGTAACTATCCTCCCAACAACCAAATATGCCCAGAATGGCCATCTGGATGGTCAAAAAGGGCAAAGGAAAAAAAACACCTCTGAACACATCCAGATGCCCAAAAAAGTTTACCCAGGAGCCCTTTCCGCTCCTTGGCAAACTTCTCGCAGCCGCTGTGTCCAAGCCCAGCTCCTGGCGCAGAAGGGAGAGGGTCGAAGAGCAGCCTGGGGATGCCTGGATGGGAAAAGCACCAGAAAGCTAGTCTGAACCTCAGCCCACCAAGCCAAAGCATAAAGACTATGCCAAAATAGACCCCAAACAGTTTCGGCATGTTTTTTGGGGATCAACTCCTTGAACTCCAATGTTGGTGGTAACGTCTGTAACTGCAATTGTAATACATTCCTTTATATATATATATACACTAGTTTCCAGCTGTTTAGGAATGGCATTGTTTGAAAACAACAGTTATGATTCCTGGGTCACATGTGCCAAAACGAAGGGGTATGTATGTCATCAGAAAATCCGACGATGATATCAAATATCAAACGCTGCACCACTGTTGCATTCATTCATAGCCACACGAAAACATACCCGGACAGGCGGTGGAGAAAGGAAAAGCAGCGTGGCCAAGGAGGGGATACTGCCTGGACAAGGCGGTGGTAAAAGGGCCAACAATGTGGGCAAACAGGACAGTTTTGCACAAGGCGGGCTGCCAAGCAGACCACCAAGACTGGACAAGGACAACGCGCGTAGCGGACAGGGTGGAAAAGAAAGCCCACGGCGCGGCCACAGCTATCATAGACAGTCATTTCTTTCTTACACTGATTGGGGAACAAGAGGAGGACACAGGGTGCGCCAGCAGGACACCAAGAGGACAGGAGGAGGACACGGCGTTTTGCAAGCGTGGCCAGAGGACAAAGGGACGGCAAGAGGAGCACACAAAGTTTGCAAGTGTGGCTAAAGGACAGCCACCAGCAGAACGAGAGGAGGACAAGAAAAGGACAAAGGAGGACAACACCCGGACACGGACAGAGACTGGTGGCGAGTGTTTTTCTCCTAAGAGAGAACCCCAACAGGAAACGGTTTGGTTTGGGGAAGCATTAAGCTTTTTTGACCCATCGAAGAGTGAGTCCAGATAGTGTCTGCATCGAAGACTTGCCGACTTCATTGCCATGTTCTTCTGAAGTGGACTTGCCAGCAGTCCCTGGTACAGTACCGGCATCACGGGGTGCCAAGGATTTTCATTGGCTTTGCTTGGATGTGTGCTGAGTCTGCTTTCCAGTTTGTGCCAAATAATCCTGCAGAAACAGGTAGCTGTTGAAGGTGTGAGTGCAAATCCTGTATCTCTGCACAGTTTAGCTGTATTCAAAAATGCACGTGCGGACGTGAAAATATCCAGCGCGCCCCCCCTCCCTGTCACACCTGCCAGCAGCAGCTCAAGGCTCTGTAGGCGTTGCAAGGTGCCGATGCCCTGATTCACAGGTCACCCGCATGGAAAGGAACCGAAAGGAACCATGGTTCCCCTTCGGCCCAGGCAGATCAGTAAACCTCTTAACTGATTCGCTCCCAGCGTTCGTCCAACGAGACGATGACATGTTCGTCCTATCTATTCTCACCTTGTTACTAGCGATGCCAGGAGCCCCTTCGGCGCGGTGCCTGGGCCAAGTGGCAAGCTCCATGGTCTCCAACAGAGGTGAAACTGATGTCAACCTGATCATCTCGGGGGAAAACGCTGGGGCGTCACGAAGAAGGCGCTACAAAAGGGTGCGCCGGCAGTGGCTCAAGAAGGAAAAAGAACAGAATGGACGGGTCCACAATCACAAGTGCCGAGCAAATTCGACGTCAAGATGTTCGGCCTCTAATTCCTTCAGGCCCACCAAGGCCCTCAACGATTGCGCCAGTGAATGAACCACCTCCTGGCCACTGGGTCAGCGAACGAAATCAAGGTATACAATTATATATATATATAGGTACAAACATGCCAAACGTGGGCCGGAGGCAAACGTCTTCTGCGCAAAGTCATCTTGATTCCTGGGCTGGGAAATCAAAAAACTGGACTGAAGGACATGGTTCTGCGTCAACAGGGAGCAAATATCTTTGGATTCTGATGTGGACATGACATGACTCAGCGACAATGACGCCAGATCCTTCCCGGGCAGTGTTTGCGGACCAGAACGTAAGCCGCCGACCCATGAGCTGCTGGGTCAAAGCATTTCGCATCTGCCGATCAGTCGCCTGTATTCACTTCAAATTTGCAAGGGATGTGGATTGATCTGCCAAAGAAAAGGCTCTCTCGCCACAGAAGCATGCCAAAAGCCTGGCACAGAAACGTCCAACTGGGCGGCGGGCCCCCACGCGGAAGGCAGTAGCGGCATCGTAGAAGTGCAAGGCCTGAGAGTGCGGCGCGCTGTCGAGCCGGTCCACAGGTCTACTGTGGGTCCGTTCGTCTAAGAGCTCAACGCCTGGTGCCAAAACCTGAGACTGACAGGAACTGGAAAAGAACCCACGGGTTGAGGGGCAGCATTTGCCTCTGAAACAAGAGGGAACCATACCCCTTATACAAAGACCAGGGATCCAAAATTCTAGCATTGGAAGTCGTTTCTGTCCAGACCTCTATGCCTTTGGTCCGAGCCGCCTTTGAGGCCGCCAAAGCGGCTGCTCACGCGGCTGAGTTAGAATATTATCAGTGACTTGGGGCGAATCTGAATTCGACACGGATCTCGGTTCCAGCGGGATTCCTTGCGGGCTCACATGTTCCAAGTGCCACACATCCGCAGGCATGTGTCGAGGCCAGTCTAACAACGCCATGGCTGGAGGACCAGACAGGTCTGATGCTTCACTAGACAGTTCGACTTGATGGACCTCGAAGAAGGGCGAGAAACTCTGCAATGATTTGTGCAAATGCAGCAGGGTCTTGCGTTCACTGAACGCCTGTGAAAACACAAATTAACTGCAAATGCATTCTATACTTGGTAGAAGGCTGCAGGAAAAGTGTATTCAAACATACTCACACAAAGGATTTTTAGCGTGCAGGTCATCCTAGAGCACAGTGGAGTCTTCAGGATAGCAACCTGCTTTGTGCTGCTGGCAAAGCGCAAGCGTGTCAGGACATCATCCTGAAGCAAGACTTGAAAATGGTACAGTAACATAGAGGTAGCTGCACAAGCTTGGCAAGCACAAACAACAATTGTTTCTTTATGCAAAGTACAAGTACAAGTGCCCTCAAATGTGTTCATGATAATAACTTGAAAACAAGGAGTCTACTTGCGTAGGCTTGACAGAACCTTCCTACCCGTGCCGAAAAGGGATCAACTTGCCAGCGCAGAAAAATCGCTGATCAAAACGTCAGCAAATTCAGGTCTTCTATTGCAGTTTCTACTCAGGGACTGCGCGGTTTTTGGCCCGTCAACTTGTCCTGGCACACAATCACAAGAATTTCAAACAATTCAAACAAACAATCAAAACCACAAAGTCATTTTCAAGGAACAGAGTGTGTGTAGTTATGAGCTCCCGAGCAAGTTGAGTGGTCGTCATCATCGCCTCACAAACACAAAGGAATGACTTGAAAGCTAAAGTGGCGGCCAAAACGGAATAAACTCTAAGGAGTTGGTTCTTGGCTTCCCAAATCTGTCTCGAACGCGCTCGACCAAAATGTCACAGACGCTCGTGAGCCGCCTCCCGTAAGAGTGTAGGGCTCTCAAGGGGCGTCTCAAACTTCACCCGGCCGCGCCTGGAGAATTCGATCCCGAACATCAGTTGAGCTGAAAAAAATGTATATAACCTGGAAGGTTCCTTACTCAATACATAAGACCGGGCAGACCAGGCTATCTTTTTCAGTTTGCAGAACTCCACAACCAAACCAATTCCACCGGGTGCACAAGTTGGGCGCCGAAAAGAATTGTTCGAAAACCTTCCATGTTGACGTGATGTGATGTGTTGGCTCAATGCCAGTGCCTGGAGCCTGCACGGGTTTGGCACACCACGTCAAAGCCCAAACGGTCAATTGACAGCATCGTAGCAGCTTCAATATCAGTCAAGCCAGTGAAAGCTTTCGACATATCCAATACTGCATCCGCGTGGTCGGCATTGCAATGCTCCACAGCGCGTTTGACAGCTTCGACATCTGCTGCAACTTTGTCCGCTGGGCCATTTGCACTCGCGAGTTTTAAGGCTCCGCTTGCAGGTTGCGCAGGGCCGCTTCCAGGACAAACATGGCTAAACAAAACCCTTAGTCGCGCAGGCGCACAGCGGCCTGATTGACCAGTTGATAGGGTCATTGTTCGAGCCAATCAATATCTAGCAATGTGTCACAAAAAGCATCAAAAAAGCCTGAGCAACCGGTTTTGGTCAAGTGCCCAAAAAGGAAAGCCGGTGGAGACCAAAAAATGGTTCCTGCAAAATCACATGATGTTTACATTTAAAGGACTTTAAAGCTTCTTCGCATCCATCATGTATGTTTCAAAATCAGGATCCAAACCAAAACTACCACGCGGCCTGATCTTGAAAAGCCAACGTCTAAAAACTTCATGCCTCTGCAGCAATGTGCATGTGTCACGCCTGCGATTGGCCCAAAAGTCTGGCAAAACCGTATTTATCCCAAACGGGTCGTAGGGCAAAATCACTTGTCCCAAAAATTATATATATATATATAAATGAACATCCAAAAGTGCAGCATCTGCTCATATTTTGGGCGGCCATTCAGGTACTAGGGCCTTACTGGGCTTTAGACAGTCTTTGCGGGGCGTTGCTGTCATGAAGGAGTTTAATGACCCTCGTTCATTCTTTTATTCTACCCACAAGCCTTAAGCTCACACTTGCAGAAGAGTTTGTGCGTTGGCCACGCTTCTCTTTGGCAGCTAACGCTACAATACCAAACCTTCTGGCAGCCTCCACAGCGCTTGCTGCTCTCCGACGAAGCACCACAACCCTCACGGCAACACTTGGGAATGGACCACTCCACAGTTTGTTCATAGCCGCTGGCCCATAAGCAGTCTGCTGCTGAGTAGCTTTGTGGAAACAATGCGCCGGACATTTTTCGAGCAACTCCCCATCGAGCCAATGAGACCTCTTGGCAAATTGGTCTGAATTTCTTCAGCACCTCCAATATGTGATCTTCTTCCCATGCTGAAACAATAAATACCCCAGTCGCTGAAATCTGGTTGATTCCAAAATGGAGCTGTTGCAATTCGCAGCTCAATGCGCTCTTCGGTGAGATAAATTCCACATTGTGAAGGAGTTCACGAAGGACGAGACTATCAAACATCTTAGAGAAGGGTAGTTCCGGTGAAGGAAAGTGAGCAGAGAATCTCAACGCACGGTCACAAAAGGAATGAGCCCCGGAAGCTACCCTTTGCACTTCCAAGCTCGATGTCGGACGAAAGTGAGATTCCCTCCAGTTCATGAATTCTGTAATCAGTGAGGATCTCTCGTTTCGCAGTAGCCGAGCAAAGTGGTCCAAGATCATGGGGAAACCCTTATAGTCCGCCAGGTTTGAGGTGAGAATCACATCAAAGGGCATCTGACATTGGAACTTCATCACATCCCCAACATGGAACTGAAAGGATGCTTTCAGTGGAACGACCTGCAGGCCATCTTTGCCATTGAAGACTCTGTGTGAGCTCGTCAGACCGAGCATGCAATCGAACAAATATGCATATCTGTACCCAAACGAAATAAAAACGAAACAAAAATGGTTCTAGAAAAAAACACAAAAAGAATAAAGACTATAACTTCTTAACCCACAACCGCATATGACATAGCAAACATAATGTGTATTCTGTGATGTGTTCAAGAATTTGCACGGGCCTCTCCTAGCATTGAGCGAAGCATCCCCAGCATCTTTTGGCCCAAGCAAACCTGGTGCCCTTTGTCTGGAAGATGCCTGCTCTCTTGGGTCAGATCTTGCAAGAAATAACCGCGGAATGGCAAGCTGCCTGGATGCACTGCCTTCTCAGGATGACACATGGTGGGATTCCATGTCAAATTCCTGATCTTCGCCTCACATTTTTGCAAGGTTTTGGTCCGGAAGTACTGCTGAGTGCAGGAATTCCACCTGCCAAGCAGCCTACAACAGTCCACTTTCATGCAAGAGGTTTTGGATTTCTCAAGCCACTGAGGTTCAGTCCCGGGAGGCAACTGGCGCCAGTACTGAAGGGTTTCACACACCAATGAGGTTGATTCTGCATCTAGTTTCACGTTGCCACATGACCATGGGGCACCCACCACCATCCTCTCCAACAGAGTGTCAAGTGCAGCCCGCAGCATGCTGGCATGCTCCTGACTGATTCTAGCCGAGTACCACAAGGCAATCACCAGTTCAATGCTATCCTTGGAACTGTGTTGAAATGTTGCGCCATCCAGCAACAGTGCAAACAGCACGTTTCGGGCCACGACGCGGGGGTCACTGTCATTCAGGAAGAATTCAACCTCTTGGAACTGCTTTGTTGCAGCTTTCAGCTGGCTACATGTGTAAAGAACGTGCCGGAGATCCCCACTCGCGACTGACAACACGGAAGCAACTGGCTGGTCTTGATGATGTTTCAACAAATTGATGGCAGGAGTGTTGCCAAAAGGGTGCCAGTATTCGTCCATGCTGTCACCTTTGGATATCCTCGTCTTCTCACGCACACAAGAAATCAATGAGATGTTTATCTTGCCACGTTTCAAGATGATCTCTTGGTGGTGTCCCAATGTGTCCAAAGGATCCAAAGCCACAGCAGTTCTCAACAGACTTATCCTCATCTCTCCATTCTGCGACTCCGCTGCTTTCAACAGTTTTGGTACCTGCTCTGGCCCAAAGGCATGCGCCATTGCGAGGTTCAGCCACCTCTTTCACATGAAAAGCGTGGTTTTCAACCTTTCTCGAAATGCTCAAGGAAAAGTTGCACCAAGTGCATGTTTCCATGCGAATCTATGGCGGATACATTTCTACATCGAGGTTCGGTTCCAAACAAACGCGCCTGCATCCTGCTGGATAGATTTGAAGTGAAGCTATTAGTCATCTATGATTGGCCTCTGTCTTTGTGCTTGCCAACAATGAATCCTTATTCAGTGCCCGGCAAAGGAAAGCTATATGCTGGGAAAGCTATTTCTGCGACCTGCATTGGGATGGCCCCGCCCTTTGAAGGAGAACCCGACAAGATTTAGCTCTTGGGAACCGCCAGGACCGCCAGGTGAATTCCTCGCAAAAAGGAATACAAAATTAAAAAATGAAATTCCGCTGATGAACCGACGGTGACAATCCTTTTTGTGCAAAATGTAAATAGATGCAAATGTGTACACCAAGCGTGATTTGGGCTATGGAACAAAAGCGGTGGTACCATTTTGGTGGGCGATTACCACCTATTCCAGTTGATGGATGGTCTGAACAAACCAGGTTTGCTCCATCGCCGAATGGACCGCCAATGAAACGATGCTGTCTTCGCGGCAAGCAACATGACCTGTGATGGTTTATGTTTATGTTCATGGTCCAGACTCTCGAAACCTGTGCAGTGGTCATTGTAATCCCCATCCCATCAACCAAAGAAAGGCCTTTCCACATACCCGTAAAATGACCAACAGCGACCTTCATCCATCATCATTGTAATATATTATATAACCATCTGTAAATCTACGTCTGTGAAATCAAAGCACGCACGTACTGGAAAACAAAGTCATACGGCCGGTCACAATGCTACGGTTCCGAAGCGACCATGAAAAGGTGAAAGCCAGGTCGTCCAACAAAGCAGGTCGTCCATTTGACCTATAGCAGCAGTTTGCGGTCTGCTAGGAGGAAGCAAAACAGAAGGACTGTGAAGTTGAGACTATGTTTGACAGGCATGTGAGAAAGGATGTTTTTCTCATGTGATGATACCGCAAGAAGAAGAAAACGATTAGAAGAAAACGACGATAAAGAAGAGATCCTTTCTAGCTGGAGCCAGGGGGCGGCCGTGGGGTCACCCGTTGGCAGAGATTGCAGCTACATAGACATAGTTGTGACCGGATTTCTTCTTGGGAAGGAGCCAGAAGGAAGCCGTGCGGTCGCCCACCTGGATGCTGGTGGAAATATAACAGCTAGGCGGTTTTCACAGTTGTCACTGACCTTTTCTTTTGCTTTGCCCTTACCTGGGGCACACGCGAACATCCCTCGGGTCGAAGGGGCACTGTCACCTGGTCCTTTACCTTTTGAATGAGATTTCGTGCAGACACAGTGCAGACTTCGTGGCGGGCACAGCACTTTTGTGGTCCTCTGCAGATTTTCGTGGCGAGCCGCTTCAGCTGCTAACATGGCAGCCGCACATTTTTTTGGACGAGTCGAGGCGCTGTGTGTGCAGGTTGTGCACAAGTCACCTTAAGCTGGTGAAGGAGTGAGATGCGTGCCAGGCAAAAGGAAACCAGAAAACAAAGCCCCAAAACACAAACACAACCCCACCAAAGCCGCCGGGAAGGTTCGTACCTCAGGATGGCTGAGTAAGCCAAAAGGAGTGGTGAAACTGTGTGAGACTAGGGGCTGTGAATTCATCCCTTGCGCTCAGTACGTCATTTCCAGGCACGCCGCTGCTTCTTTACCATCTTTGCCCTCGAGGTGAATACACTGCACTACGGCTGACAAGATTAACTCATTCTTCATATGGTGAGCAAAGGAAGCGACAGGCTTTGTTGTGAAAACACAGTAGCAACGCGTCCTTTTCGGTCCCGCTCCTTGAGCCAAAGTTACAGTCATTCATAGACTGTCTCCAAAAGTCCTCTAAGCTTCTCTGAAGCTCACCCACTCTTCTTGAAAGAGTACATGACTACACCTAGTCATCTCCAAACTACACAAAACTACACAAGGCTATCTCAAACAGTCTCCAAAGACATCGTGCTCTACCAAAAGGTTCTCTAAACAGTTCCTAGCCACAAGTTGCCACTTCAAACATCCTCCTGCTAAGGTGGTCTAAGGTCAAACGCAAAAAGGGCACAGACCTCCACTCAGCTCCAACCCCAAGCACTCCAAAAACGAAAATTCCCTTAAAAAAACAAGCACTAGGTGAGCCATACGCTGTACACGTGCGCTGCACGCTACTTTTCACACCCCTTCTTGGGTCGCCTAGGGCTACCTGCCTTCTTCTTCTGTCGTCTTCTCTTCTTCTGTTCGTTTTCTTGGAGCAACTAAGGATCAGACATCACAACTAAGATCCAAACTTCTGCCCTCAACGGTGATCTCAATGACATCAATCCAGAGGTAAACTCGAGCTCAACCCAAGCCAAACTCCAGATCCATCAAAGAATCAACTTCGACCCTCAACCAACACGCAATCGACCAAGGACAAACGTGTAAAGAGGATCTCTCAGAGGTGGGTCATGGAATCTCATGGGAAGATTCCTTCTCTCAATGACCCGTAAACCCTCATCATCGAGATCCTCAAAAGCACAAGGCTTTTAAGGACAACTTACCTGTCAGCTCAGGAAGCAAAAAGGTGATCTAGGGTTACCCTGCCGCGCAAACCTCCGACCTCAAGACCTGACAAGTTCACAAAGTTGGACTCAACTGCAAAAGATGAAACCCCACAAGATGACCTAGGCACAAACTTGCAATGAACATGGTTGCAAACAAGCACAAGTGAACTTGCAAGAAA